CTAATATTCTTTTTACAAAAATAAGACAACGAAAGTTCAGATGATGTAAGGAATTGGATTAATGTCATTGCTGATAAGTATAAAAGCAGAACTCAAACCAGGTCTGTCTGATCCCGGATCTACCTTTCCCAACAATTGCTGTGCCATCTGCCTAAGCAGAGTCTGCCGAAATGAAACATGAGCCTATAGGGCACTGAGACAGCAGCAAAAGGGGAGTGGAGGGAAGCGAGTGAGCTCAGTCTTTCAGAAGGAGGCTGAGGGCATCTTGCCTAGGGGAGCACAGAGGCAAAAGAACAGCTTCTTCTCAGGGCTGATGAGGCATGGAGCTGGGCTTGGACCAGCTGCTGCCTGGACCAGAACCTCCAGCTCTAACAGTCCACAGCAACTTATCTGCCAGTGCATGGTGGGAGGGGTTGAGTGCCCTGGACCCCAGGGACTACAGTAAGACCTGAACTTCCTCAGCTTTTTGTCACATGAGAAAAGAACATTTTAGTGGAATTCCATCAATGTGGGCTGGGACAGGTATGTTATAAGAGTTCAGGCACCTGAGTTTGGATTTTAGACTATTACTGCCACTTCAGGTAAGATTTGAACTCTGTCTCTGTCAGGGACCAATGTTACCCTCATCCGCCCTCCAACTGTCTTGCACTTAGGAATTGCAAGGCACAGTCACAGGAAGATGCGGTTTGGGACTCTTTGGAACTGGAGGGGAAGCTCAGCTTGGTTGAAACCCCAGTTTCTTCATCTTGAAGGTGAAAATAGTATTTCCTACCTCAAAGGTTACCCTGAGGTTCAGGATCTATAATTAGAGTTAGACTGGGGAATATGTAAAAGTGCGTCTAGGATAGATGGCTGTCTAGGGACAGACATAGAAAAGAGGACAGGTGTGTGAGGAGGGGAGAGAAATTGGGGAATGACTACTAATCATTACAGAGATTCTTTTTCATGAGATAAAAATGTTTTAAAGTTGTAATCATGGTCACATAATCCTGCAAACATGTGGAACCCATTGGATTGTGCACTCAAAATAGGTGAATTGCGTGGCATGAGAATTATATCTCTAAAAAGGTGTTTTAAAAAATAATTAGTGGCATAGAGCTGTGATGTCTGCATGGTACATGTTCACTTTATGGACATAGCAATGGTATAGAAATATTTGTACATGTCTGCCCTATCAAATATATATATGAAATGAATATATAGGTAAACACATATATATGCACATATTCATATACAATGTATCAATACAAACAGACAGGAAGACTTAGTCAGTGAAGTAAAAATTCTCCATTTGTGTTGAGCACTTTTCAAATCCTAGGGGTGTTTGACAACATCTTCGGTCCTTCCCTGCTGATACTATAAGTGCATAGAGCAAGAAATATTATTTCCACTTGTGAGATGAGCTAACAGGGATCTGGAGAGTGGCCAAGTGCAAAGCGAGCTAAGGGTGGCATCTGAACAGAAAGCAGGCTTGTTTTTATTTGTTTGACTCTGTTATAGTTTTAGTATGAAGCACCCCTGGAAGACTCACGTATCAAGAGTTTGACACCCTATGCGACAGTGTGTAGAGGTGGGGCTGGAGAGGTTACTGGATCGGAAGGAGCTGACCTCATCAGTGGAGTAATCCATGCGTGCATTTGTTCACAGCTTAAGAGCACATTAGGAGGTGGGACCCAGCTGAAGGACACAAGTCACTGAGGGAGTGCCTTTTAAGGACATATCATGTCACCCTCCCCTTTCCCTTTCTTTCTCTGATTCCTGGATGCTACAAGGCAAGGAGCTTTCCTTCTACCATGTTTTTTGTCATGACATGTCTTCCTTGCCGCGGGTTTAAGAGCAATGGTGTCAGCTAATCATGGGCCTAACACTCTGAAATTGTGAATCAAAATGAAGCTTTCTGCCTCTGCGTTGTGTATGTCATGTATTTTATCCCAGTGACAAAATGCAGACTTCTGCAGACTCCTTGTCCATAAACTCTCATGTCTCACCCACCACCCCTTTCTGGCAGCCCTTCAGTGGTGGCCATCTGAACCCCAAAGCGCCCTCCTGGGTGACCAGCCAGAGAAATGCTGCTGGTTACTTTGAAATCCAGGCATTCTGATAGGGACAGAAAGGGTGCAAAATAAAAATGTAGCTCCCTCCTTCCCAAAGGCGTCCTTGGTCCTAACTCTATAATTACAACCTAATCACAAACACTCTGAAGGATAGGGTCAGTTCCATGCAGCAGCAGGCTAATTACGTGGCTGAATTTCTAAAAGTGATCATCTTATAAATTGTGTTATTCCTCTGATGGGGGAAGAAAACACACACTACATAACCAGCTACGTTTCAAACTGAATTAATTAGTAATTTTAAGCCTAATTATCAACTAATCTATCGGAACATGCAAGTCTTTTGTATTTGGATGGTATATATAATTTGCCTCCTATTAGCTGACAGTTGTAAGGAACTGAGAACTCATTAGGTCGGAGGGAAAATGCAGATCAGAAGGATACAGCAACCCCAGGGGTTGACTTGGGGATGCTGTGGCATAGGGGTCACTGGGCAACAGATGGAGGCTGGTAATGTAATTATCTGGGGCCTTTCAGTGGCTATGAGGACACTGATGTATAATTTCTACCCAACTCCAAAGATGTAATTATGTATCCCCTACCCTTGTTCTGTGTATTCCAAACAGCAAGGCACCCACTGAGTCTCACTAAGACACGTTTTGGGATACAGGGAAAGAGAGTAGATGCTGCTTCTGTGCTCAGCTCCATTGCTTACTGGCTATGGGACATTGGCTGACTCTCAGCCCCCTGCTAGTTCTGTTTACTGACAAGCAAATGGGACTTAGATGATGCTGACTCCCAAAGTACCTGCTAGCATCCAGGACATAGGATTTGAGGAATGTTGAGGGCTTTCCTCATTCCTTAATGAAAAAAAAATCATTTTTCCAAGTAGTCTTTTGGGATTGAGCTCTTTGGTCCTGCTGAAAACTCTGAAGTGTTAGCATTCATTTAAGATGCACACACCTCTGAATAAGGTGTTGTATTTTACCCATGAACATCTGGGTCTAAATTAACCTATCCTGATTAGCTCTCCTACTTTACAGTCCTCACTCTGAGACATGTAAACAACCAGAGCAAGGAAGGTTTGAAGAGAAAAGTTAGGCAAGTGCCAATCTAAGGCTAAAGACCAGACCAGAAAGGATTGTAGAATTCCAATTAGGCAGGATGCTTGGGTTTCGTGTTTAGATCCACATATGTGTGCATTATTTCATCTAATGACTTTTACTCCAAAACAAGTGCAAGATATCAGTCTTTTGTTCAGTTAATAATATTGCTCATAGAAATAGCACAAAACAACTTGGCTAAAACCAAACATGGTTTTGTGCTCAGTTAAATAAAGTTAAAATAAAAAATTTATTACAGATGAAAAGTTAAGACAGTTATCTTCAAGAACACATGGAAAATTGAAAAGATAGGCCAGGGTAATAAACATTGTAGAAAAAGCTACCATTAAGGGAAATGGACACATGACAGAATTTGTTATTAATTAAGATTTGATGAAAGCTGTAGCCACTTTGGAAAATAATTTGAGTTTTTTTAAATGTTGAATGTGGAGTTTAGCACATGACCCAGGAATTCCACTCGTAGGTATCGTGTCAAGAGAACAATGTGTACACTCATGTTTAAGCCCCTAGGATTCGAAAAGTGCTCAACACAAATGGAGAATTTTTACTTCACTGACTAAGTCTTCCTGTCTGTTTGTATTGATACATTGTATATGAATATGTGCATATATGTGTGTTTATCTATATATTCATATCATATATATATTTGATAGGACAGACATGTACAAATATTTCTATACCATTGCCATGCCCATAAAGTAAACATGTACCGTGCAGACATCACAGCTCTATGCCACTATTTATTTTTTATACTAGGCAAAAAGTGAAGGCAACCCAGTGCCCCTCATCTGTTTGTTGAGTAGGCAAAATATGACAAATCTGTATAATGGAATATTATTTGGTAATAAAATAGGCAAACAGAGTTATACTCTAGATCAGTGGTTCCCCAAGGCTATGGGAGCTTGAAAGGCAATAGGTAATAATGATAACATGTTTTAAAATAAGATTGGGTGCTAGTTCATAACTGAGAATATACTAAAATACATTGAATTTTGTACTACAGATGGGTGAGTTGTATGGTATGTGAATTACACTTTAATAAAACCTCTAAAATGAGAATAAATGTAACATAAAATTCTATTTGATTTTAAAAAAACAGAGCTGGAAGAATCAAATTTAGTTATAAAAAATAGATGTGCAAAGCATGACACAACGAAAATAGGCTCGACAGAAATCACAACAGGAAATTCATACTGGCACATTGGGGCTGCTAGGTAGAATGGTAAGCATAAAAGATGATTTGATGAACCGGGTGTTCTCTGTCCTATGGGAAATAATTGCACTTCATACAAAAAACTGCCATACATTAAAATAAAAATAATATTTTAAAAGACAGGCTTGTCTATGCGATATAGAATAATGAATAAAAATGAGATTGACATAATATTTTTCACAGTTGGTAGACTGTTCCTGGTTAAAGATTTGCCATTATTAGTACAACTGTGATTTAAATGTTGGTGCTTTAAGTAGTAAACGTATCCCTGAGTTTGAAATAGAAGGCCAGGAACAGTGGGAACTGGACATCTTAAATACATACAATAATGTGGTGATTTTGTCCTTATTGCCCCGGGGTACAGCTGATTAAAGAGGAAACTGTGAAGACTGATAAGGCCCTGGCCCCCAACATGCCGGCTCCTGGGATGATTCACGAACAGTGGCTTGAAAGAGGGATGTCGAAGGGAAAACATAAACTTAGTACCACCAAGACTTAGCATTGCAGCTCTGAATTTCCCTTTGCACCCAGAGAATGCACGCTAGGTGGGGCCCCTGGGGTAGAGTGAGGAGCCCAGCTGGGAAGGGCTGGTTGCTTGGAATCCGTACTCACCAGGTTGGCAAGGATGTAGTGGTAGCCGATACTGTTCTTCTCCAGCTTTATAATCTACAAAACACAGTGGGAGTGGGAGGGGGCTCATCAGTAATACTGACAATGAAAGCTATCACCACAACAGTCATAACAAATTAATTACATTATGTTATGTATCTATAATATGCTCTTCCCTACCCCAAGTACATAAACTGCAACATTCCAACTGTCCGTTGATGGTGTCATTGTCAGTACCTATATTCTACAGAAGAACGGTCATGGAGCAATTAATTAAGTTTCTTCAAGTTGCCCAGGACTTAAGTGATAAATGTCTGATCTGAAATCACTTTTGTTTTACTCCAGGGGTCCAGTGATATTGTTATAGCCCCAGGAAGCCAGCTGAATCCTTAGCAAATTCCTTTCATAAACCTCCCGTGCACAAGGAGATTCTTCCCAAGATGAGGCAGGGATTCTATGTGGCATGGAAACTTCACCAATGTCATCACAGCGTTCGCTGCTAGGATGGTACATTGGGTAAGCAGAGGATGATGTCACTCGTGGTCTTAATTTTCACATCTGTTCACGAGCCATATACAGATGTTATATTTTCCCTGAATTTTGTACTTTTCTCCCAAAGCCAGTTTGGTACTCCAACATTAATCATTCAGCTTGGGACTTGTAAGGGAATGTTAGGGTCATGTGATCCAACCCCTCGCTGGACAGTTGGGAAGCTACAGTGCAAAGAGGGGACTGATTTTCTCAGATTTCATAGTAGTCTCATAGCAATCCCAGGACAGAGGCCTGACTAATGAAATGTCTCATATAATGCTTGATTATTGTTAATCATTAAGAACCAAGGTCCCCAGATACCCTTCCATCTTGCATGCAGACTGTCCCTCCTCAGGGCATGCAGGAAAAATGCATGTACAAAGAATTACCAAGAAGTTTACTCGGGCAGCCAGAGAAACCACCGTGCAAGAAATGGTTAAGATTGCAGACCTTGCTTCCATAGCTGTCACTAACCTGGAGATTAACTTGAACTATTTCTTTCTCTTTTGCTTTTTGAAATATCAAATTGGGGTTAGTATGCCCCATTCAGTGCCTCTTCTCCTGTATTGTTGCAAGGAGACATAAAATACATGAGAAGCACTCAGGCTTCTTTTCTAACTGAATAAATTTTCAAGGTTATTAAAATCCACATTCAGACATCTCCTTAATTGGATGTATGGGCATAGCAGCTCACATATTTTTTTATGTGGGGAGTAATTAAATGCAAGTACACACAATGAATGCTCTGAACCAGTGGGTAGACTGAAATTCCAGACCATGGGGCTCAAATACTATTGGGACGATAGTTTTATTAATAATTCTTCATTACTTTTTCATCTTCTTGTCAAACGGTTTGCTGCCCCTTCAACAATGAGATACCTTTATCAAAAACCTATTTAGCTTCTAACAAACACAGAATAGCAAACAAACAATTTTATAAAACCCTGCCACATTCAGCCAATGGAGAAATGTATTTCCCACAAGATGGAAGTACAGGAGAGAGTCATTAAACTGATGCCTTTTAACTGATAAAAAAATAACAACTTTGTGTAGTTCAACATGATACCAATCTTCACCTCCACCTACTTGCCTACCCATCCGCTGGCCTACTTTCCTTCCTTTGCCCACTTGGTTTTGCAAATATTCACTAAGTGCTTACTATGTCTGAAGTACTCTGCGGGCCAGAGTGACAAGGGAGTGTCACTCCTCATACTTTATAAGGAGGAGGTCCGTAACAAACAAGTAAGTAGACAAATGCACACAAACCAAGACAGGTGTTATAAGTGGAATGTGCAATTTCACAAGGGGCAGTCATCTCATGGGCTCCACTAAGTTAAAGTTCATTTCCTTTGGATTACCTTTATGCATGACCTTTGTGTCGCATGGCCTCCCCTATTCTCCTTGATCAGCTCTATCCTTCCTGTCTGAGCTCCGTTCTTTCTTTCTCTGTAAAGCCTTCTGTGGTGTATTAATCTGCTCAATGAATACTTACTGAATTTAGATTATATGCCAAGCACTGTGCTATGTGTAGGGATACATCTATGAAAAGTGAAGCAAGGTCCCTATGACCTCCATGAGCTGCATTGTCATTTTTAGTAGGGAACCAGATGGTAAATATATAAATAGATTAAATGAACAAGATTTCAGCAGGTGAGAAAGCACCATGAACACAGTAAAACAGGGCAATATGATGGATAGCCCCAAGAGATCTTGGTCTATTCTCACCTTAATTCATTCTAGACGTAATGACTGTATTATATAATTTAGTGTCTTATATATTGACAGAGCATAATATTCTAATAATCCTATTCTTTGTTCGTCAACTTTCACTGACTTCCCCTGTCTACAAAATAATCCCAAACTCTCTAGAATAGCTCCCAAGGATATTTATGACTGCATGTTCATCTGTCTGTACCATCTTTACTGGACACTCAGCAACATCCACTTGGCTTGGAAAGCTCCCCATGAGCCCCAACACTTACACAACCTCTGGCCCCCCAGCTTACAAGCCATCCCTGCAGCTTTCAGGCCCTTATTTAACCTATAGATACTGGTAAAATTCAGACCCATCTCACATTTGAGATTATTCTTAGCTTTCACTGAACCCTATTCTTTCAATTTATTCAGACAATATTTATTGAATACTTTCTTGGTGCTATGCACTGAAGCACTGTTGACATGCTGGGTAAGAAAATAAAAATAAAGCCACTGTTCCCACAGAGCTTATATTCTAGTTGGGTGCTGGAGACAGAAACATGCAAGTAAGTTGCATAAAAGGTAGCTATAGATACAGAAGCAGAAAAGTTGTGTTTTGAAAAGTTTGAGCCCTATGTGTGAGGCCAGGTTCATCTGACTTCTCACTTTCCTTATTTGTTGCCAGTAAGAACTCAGGCAGTGAAATCCTTTTCTTTATATTTAAAACAGAGAAATCAGTTAAAGTTGTTTTATAGAGTTGCTGTGAGGATGAATGGGATTAGCCTTGGCAATAGCTTGGAAGAACGGCTGGCGTACTGTAAATGCTGAAAAACAGGAGCATGGGACCATCCAGGACAAGTCATGATTCTATTAGAAACACTTCATTGTCATTCATCTCATTCTTCACCGCCTATCTCATCTTGTCTTTTTCCCAGTTTTGTAGAGCAGGGACCTGAATTTTTAGTTTGCAGGTCAGTTCATTTATGCCCACAGAGGAAAGCGACTCTGGAAGCCAGTGCTAGCAGGCACTATGAATACCAAAACCAGGCAGATGTTTGCAGACGTCACTGACTGTGGGGCAGGTTCTGGTGCAAGTACATGTACTGATTCTTTTAGCTCTCATAGGAGCTCACGGAGGTGTTATTGTTATTGTTATCATCCAATTTTACAGGGCAGGAACCCGAGACACAGAAAGGTCAAAAGCCTAGCCAATGTCCTGAAGCTTTTAAGTACTAGATTGGGATCTGGACTCCAGCCAGCCCAGTTCTAGAGTGTCCGATCTTAACTACTGTCTCAAATGCCTCCCTTAAACGCTAGTACTCCAAGCATTGACTCCGGCCCAGGGGGTTTCTATTTCAACAGAAATAATCTTTGCCAGCTTCCCTTTTCAAGAGCAAAAGCCAAATGCACACTTTATACAGCAGCACTCACGGAGTTAATGCCTTAAGGAACCCACTGCCTTTCAGAATCTCCCCCTGTTGTGTGGCTGAGGCTTCTGAGTGATTGCGAGCTGGTGCAGAGGTCCCCTGTGGGGGCCCCAGGAGGCTTGAGGGTCATTAACAAGTTCTGTCATGTTGTCAAGTACCTAAAACGACTATCTTTTATTATATGGCACTATTAAAAACTGATTGCAAATCATCTTCCTTGCTAATTTATCTGAACACAAGTGTAGTTTTAAAAGACTCTGGATCTACACAAAGGCCCACTAAATCCATGCCAGGCACCTATTTTAGGTCTGAGATGGAAGGAACTACAATGTAGGTATTGCTGCTCAAAGACTGTTGAGGTTATAGTGGCTGTTCACAGCCTGTGCAGTGGATTTCTCAGAGGCAAGAGGAAACAGTAGAAAGAGAGGTAGGTGGCTGCGGCTTCCTTGGGCTCTTAAAACAGGTCAGTGGGCCAAAGGGATGAGATGCCAAGTGTTAGATCCACGCGCCACAGAGCCCGGGGCTGTGTGCAGGAATCCGGCTCTGCCGCTGGTGTTCCTAATGCGAGAACACTTCATGGGCTCTAAAATGCAATGTAATTTATTTTTTAACAATAAAGAGAAACACTGGAGCTGAGGTGCTGCTCAAATGATCTGAGAAACATTTGAAACCCCATATGAAGAGTCCTGTTGGCTATGCTCCTTCACTGAATTCCAGAATTAAATTTTATAAATGACCGAATGTGAGATGGAAGGCACCTAGCTTCACCTAAGGATCCTATTTATCATCCTCTTTATAACCTCCACAGCCAAAATGTGCCTCGCCTTTCCCAAGTGACCTCCCACACCCACCCTGAGCCCTTCTCCGCCACTGCTACCTGGCCCAAGATGGCATTGAGGCGTTCTGATTCACAGTCCACCACCACCAGCCGCTCCTTTTTCTTCTCCAGGTCTTGAAAGAGCATCCTGTATCCTTCCTCTGTGGTTGTCAAAATGTTGACTGCTGTCACCTGCCAGTTCTTCTCTGCTGCTGTGTCCAGGACTTTCTGCAGGACGGATAAACCTGGTGGCCGGATGAGCAGGGCAGACAGATGACAGACCATAAGCATGGCAGGTAGCACTTGCTCCCAGCAACTCCCACACTGTCTACGCCAGCCATGCTCCCCCACCAACCCTGGCTCCAGCTTCCTCTCCTTCTGCAGTTCTGACCCTCCTCAGCGCAGGCACTGGGCCTTCACTGTGTTTCTGTTCCCAGGGCACAATGGACAGTAGAATTAGTGGTTACAATCTAATCTGGAGGTTAAGTTCATCATAGTGGCTAAATTACTTTGTATGGGTGCATTTGCCTCTCCAAACTTTAGTTTTTTCAATGGGAAGGTGGGAGTGTAAATAATTCCCACCTCACAGTGTCATTATGAAGACTAAATGTGAATGTCTGATACATGGTGGGGTCTAAACCCTGTAAAAGTTTTAGTCTGTGACTCAGTACTGCTGTGTTTTACCTTTGAGACTTAGATGGTATATTTGTTTCCTGTTGCTGCTATTACAAATTACCACCAGCTTAGCAGCTTAACATGACAAAAAATTGTTACTGTATACTTTTGCAGGTCAGAAATTTGAGCTAGGTCTTCCTCAATTAAAATCCAGGTATTGGTGGGGGAATGTTGCTTTCCGGAGATTCTAGGGGAGAATCAACTCTGTTGCCTTTGCAGCTTGTAGAAGCTGCCTGCATCCTTGGCTAATGGCACCCTTCATCTTCACAGTCAAAAATGCTTGTCAAGTTCTCCTCTCATCACTGATATTGACTCTGTTGCTTCTTACTTTCACAGTTAAGGATATTTGTTATTACATTGTGTCCATTCAAGAAATCCAGGACAGTCTTCCTATTTAAAGGTCAGCTAACCAACAACATTAATTCCACCTGTAATCTTAATTCTTTTTTGCTGCATACTATAAGCATATTTCAGGTTCCAGGGGTTAGGAAATAGATATGTCAGGAGAGGGTGTCATTCTACCTACCACAGATACCTAATTTGCTTTTGCATTATTAATTTTTATGTATATCATTTCCAATTCCCAGGAACACTGCCAATCCTGTCTATAGTGACCAGGATGGTGCCTGGTCTCAAGAATCCTTTATAGATTGATTCTGTGACACCTCCCTATTTTGTTTCATTTTCAGGTCAATTTGTTTGATAGGTTTGAATTGCACACTTAATAAAACTTTACCCTAAATCTGGTGCTATTCTGTGGCTTTCCTCTCTTTAATTCAGTCGTAGATACTATTGTTGTTCTTATTTTACAGATGTAGTAATTGAAGCTCAGAGAGATTTAGCCATTGGTTCAAAGTCACACAGCTAGCAAATGATAGAGCTCAGAGCTCTGAGTTCTGAGGTATATGATGCCCTTTTGAGAATGTAGGTTCTTCTGTTGATCCCTACAGGCAAAGTTGCATTTTTCTGGCTTTACCACCTCCAGCCTGAAGCTCAAAGAGACCATCTCCAGGTGACACTCTTCCTCCACCACGATGACTATTTTCTGAGATGGAAAATCATCAAAATAGGGAGAAGTTAAGAAAATCAAAGGAAAGGGTGTTTGCTTGTGGTCTCTCTGCTGACTTCTTCCCATCTAGAACACCTGCCTAACTGCTTGAAGAGCAATTTTTATAAGGCACTGAAAAAAGCCTACTCAAATGTCCTCTGAGACCCTCTTTGTACATCAGGGCTCCTTGGCCTCGGCTTCCAGGCCTAGCACATCCCATTCATTTGGTTCCACTGACACTGACTGTATTTTTACAGGACTCTTTAGCATACTAGGAGAAGGAAGCTAGGGCAAGCAAACAGCATGGGAGTCGGCCAGACACAGAGTTCCTGTCTAGAGGGTCAGGCCATCATGAAAGTGGTATTTATCCAGCTGATGAGGAGGAGCAGGATTTCTATAGGTAGACTTGAGAAGGGAAGCACATTGCAAAAAATGAGAATAGTGTGAGTAGAGGTATGGGGCAGAAAAATGTATAGGAAATGTTTGGAGAATGTGCTGTGAAATTTAAAGGAGGCAAAATTACAAAGCCTGGGGAGGGGCAGTGATGATGATGATGATGACAGAGATGATGGTGGCTAACACACACCACGGATCGTGAGCATGTGCCATGTTGCAGGCATGGAACAACCTATGTCTCATCATTGTCTCATTTAATCTTCACAACACACTTTTAAAGTAGAGACTGCTTTTTATCTTCATTATAGAGATGAGAAAATGAAGGCATTGTGACTTTTAGCCTCATAAGTGGGGAACCAAAGGCATGAAGAGCTGGCTCAAAAACAGAGTAGAAGAGGAGAGAACTTAGGATTCAGGTCCAGGCTGTCTACACTGCTAACAACTCTACCACTAGGCATGACCTATTTGATTGAAGCATTGGACTCAGGAGCCATGGGAGCTTGGTGAACTGTGGAGTGACATGGTGTGTTAAGCGGATTACTCTCTCAAAGGGTCTGTTTCCATGCTGTGAGTGAGAGATTAGCTCGTAAGAAATCAGTCCACAGAAATAAAGAATTTTGGATCATTCCACCATGCTCTTGAAGGAGGCAGTGAGGCATGATTCTTCTTCCTGTCGGTAATTGTCTCGCTATCCTTTAACAGTCTCCACTAGTCCTTTGCTTACCCCGGTCAGCATCATAAATGTAGACGAATTTCTGCCACTTGTAGTGGTCGATGATGCTGATGAGGGCATCCTGAAGTTCAGGGCGCAGCTGAAGGACAAATTGATTGGAAGTGTCTACAGGAAAGCTTGGTGTGATGAAGCATACATGGAGGGCCCCGCAGAAGGAGGTCAGCATGTTGACAGTCCTTCGTTCGTAAAACCCAAAGATGGCATAGACTCCTTTGGAGAACTGGGAACAAACTAGAAGGGAAGAAGAGAAGAATTAATGGACAGAAGATCCTATAAACAGGTGGCACAAAACCAAATTCATCTACTAGACCATCATCTAACCTACCACCTATGCATATCTATTATGTAGCCTTCTACCCATCCAGCTCACCAACCAGTTTGTCCATCAGTCCATCCATCCATCCATCCATCCATCCATCCATCCATCCATCCATCCATCCTTTCAACCCACCAATCTATTCACCTGACCATACATTCTATCCATTTGTCCACCCTACTCACAAATTCATCCATCCAAACTCCCATCTAAGTTTAGATGCCTGTTACATGCCATATGTCATTATCATGGTTATTAATTAGAGTAACCAGGTATGCAAAAACATTTTTATATATTGTTTCACTTTGTCTCTATAATGACCTTATTAAGGTTATGGGTCATTTTTAAAGGGAGAAATCAAGAAGCAGAAAGTTAATAGACACATTGAAATAACACAGCTAGCATGAATCTGAGTTAGAAAGATATCTTATGCAGCAATATTTTCATCCTATGGTCCATCACTGTAAAGCAAAACACATAAAAAGATGTTATTAGAAAAAGAAATCTGATACATGTTTAAGAAAACAAGTGTTGATTTTCCCCAGCTTAGCCTTGAGCTCTTGGTGTACATTTCTCTGCTGATACTCATGTTGTGTTTGTACATCCTGCTAGCTGATTTTCAGACCTCCCGATGTACCAGCCATAGTAGTAATTTAGCTGTGTGAACATCCCCACAGGATCTCTTTGTAGGCTCCCTGTGCAGTTACCAATTCTTGTTTGTGGTTGATTACACTGCTGGTTAGAACATCATGATAATAACCAATGCAAAGGACTGAACTCTAGGTTAGTCAGTTCCTAAACTTCATTTTGCTACCATATAGGATGGAGACTTCACAGTATTTGTCTCAGCAAGGGGACCAACCCAAAGGCCATTCCCAATGCCTGAAAATAACCATTCCAATGTGAATAGTGAGGAAGATCAATCATCCTCCTCACAAGAAGGGTGGTTTAGAGCGTTCTCTTCAAACCAGTGGCCACCTTCCCTCTGCTCAGTCCCCATCAGTCTCTGTTGTATCACCCTGTCCTAGTCCCCTCATGGTATCAGTGTGATCTAAAGTAATGTCCTTGGTTGATTTGTCTATATCTGTGGCTATTTGCATCAATATAAATTTCCTGAAAACAGAGATTTTGTCTGTGCCTGAAAGCCAACAGGGTGCCTGGAACATTGTAGATAATTAGTAAATATTTGATAAATAAATGAATGACACATCTCGATGAGAAGGCTACATGATCCACAGTAGGTGATGAACAGGAGCTGGACCCACACAGGGCAGCCCTTTGGGTACCCTAGATCTCCTACCCTTTAGTCGGAGTAGTTTTCTTCTATGGTAGCTATTTCTGTTCCACCACTCACACTGTTTTCTCTTTCTCCTTAATGGAGACACTCTTTCCATTCACAGCCCAGAAGAGGCACTGTTTTTGGATGTCTATTGCAATTAGTAGGATCAAGATTTACATAAATATGGATTTCTTTACCAGGAAGCAAGCATTGTATATTATCCTCCTTCTGTTAAATATAGATTTGTCAAAACACACAATCTGTCTTTCAGGTTTAGTTTATATGGGGACATTGTAAAGCCTGTCAAAGTATTATACCATGCTGTCTAAGTTATTTTTAGGATCTCTTTTCTTTCCTCGCTGCAAAGAAATATTATACTGTCGGGCATAAATCTGATGTTCCAGATTTATTCCTTCAAGGTGCCTCCTTGGTTTCAAGCTTCCATTTGGACCTGTGGGCTGCTCATAGCTGGTGTTTTTTGTTAGTATTTTAGAAGTGGCAAAAGAAAAGCTGGGATGAAGGTGGGAAGGATTCGAGTAGACTGATGTGATCAAATCCTTAGACACATAGCAGGCCAGGACTTTTTCCTTCTTAAATCATCTCCCCATTTTTCCCTTCCAAAAATCATTCTTCCTTTAACCAAAATGTTTCATCCTTTAAGGCTTTTGTCCCACGACTCCTTAAAAGAGCATGGCTTGGAGGTAGCCTGGGCTAGATTTCCTCCAGTGGACCTTTCCTCCTAGAGCTGCTGGACATCTGACATTCATGCTGTCTCCTCCTTTTGGGAATGCAAGGGGGTGGGGGAGAGAAGGAGCAAGAGAGAGAGGGGGAGAGGGAAAGAGAGTGAGAGCGAGAGCAAGAGAGAGAGCAAGAGAGAGAGGGGAAGGGAGAGAGAGAGAGAGAGACAGACAGACAGACAGAGACAGAGATAGAGACAGAGAACTGACTCTGTAAGACCAAGTCTTGTAGGGGAAGGCAGTCAACTAGCCATTGTGTTGAGAAATATAATTAGTATTTGTCAGGCATTTCTTTGAGTCTGTCACAATAAATATTCAATTAGAAGAGATAACATGGTTCTGCAGAAAAAGTACTAGATTAGGTGCCGGAGGACCTAGAGTATCCTCTTTTTGGCTTAATTATTGCCGAGTACACTTGTGTGACCTTCAGCAAATCCCACACTCACATGGGAATTTTCTTATCTGTGAAACAATGCTTTAGGCTCTTTGACTGACACTCCTTGGGGCTCCAACATCCTGCATTCTAGTGTAATTGACTGGAAAGTGTTTCCTGATTCTACAATACTTTATTATTTGCTGGCCAGACTTTCTGCAACTTCCAGTGCACTTTTTCAGTTCCAGAAAGTAGATAAAGGTCTGGGTTCTTGGATTCTGTCTTAACCAAGTGCTTAGCATTACATCGAGATGCTTTTGGAGTCTTGAGTTTTATTTGAGGTATAATTTTTAACCTGCTGTGCAAATTAATTACCTAGTAGAGAAAAGATGAGATGAGGAGTTGGGGTACAGGGTGCGCTGTCAGGTACAGCAGACAGGAGGGGAGCAAGGGGAGCACTGCAAAGCAGGCTCAACACCGGTCACGCACTGGCCTCATCACAGACTCTAGTTCATGGAGGCAGATTCCGAGTAGGCTGGACTCTGTGTGGTGGTGAGGAAAGCAGTGTGTGTGTAATACTTTCTGATGGTGATAAGCAGGCGCTTACATTTGGGAACTTACTGAATGCCAGACACTTCTTAATGATGTTTCCTTGCATTAACTCTTTTCACCCTAAGAAATTGATTACCAACTGGGGAATTGAGACTCAGGACCAGAATAAGGCAAAACTGAGATCTGAACTCTCCCACTCTGGCTACAGAAATTGAGCTGTAAGTTTGGGTGATAGGTGACCTTGTCCATTCATAGTGATGGAGTCAGCTCTAACTTCTGAGAAAGCCTTTCTTGTAGCACACAGCTTTCTCCTGTTCCGGTTAAAGAGGAATTACTTTGTCTGGTCCATGGAGATACATATATAAAAATCCTTAGTGGTGTTAGATGTCTTCCTCTCTCATCTCTGAGAAAAGCATATATACACACATCTTGTCTTTTCTTTGCCCGCTCATTCATTGACCCGTTCAACAACCACTCCGCATCTAGCATCTGTGACTGGTGTGACACTGGGCCAGGCAATGGGGATGCACTGGTGAACCAAGCAAGCCCCTAACCTCCAGTACCGTCACCTGGACCGTTAGAGATTGATAACTAACCAGACACTAGTAATTCAGTCTAAGAGCTGTGGCAGGGATGAGTTCAGGGTTCAGGCTGATCTATCCAGCCCCCAGCCTTTGGGGACCTTAGAGAAAGCTTCCAAGAGGAGGGATCAGCTTCAACCCTGAAAGATAAGCAGGGATCATTTAGTAGAAGGTATTTGGAGAAGTTACTCGTGCATACGGGGCTCTTCTAGGTATAAGGAATAGCAACAGCAAAGACCTGGCAGGGAGATGGAAAAGGCGGCACATTCAGGGACTCCTGCCAGAGTGTCAGGTTTGGAGATTCTTGCCTCCAAGACATTCTGTAGCAGAACGCGCCCGGTGATCAGCATGAGCAAGAAATGAGGCCAGGCATTTCCTCTTGGGGAAGCAGGCAGGCGGGAGCTGGCAAGGGCAGGAAAACCCATGCCTTGCTTAGTGCGGGCTGTCCGATGGCAGCCTTGGTTCCCTCAGATCTCTTTGATAATCACTCCTGGTTAAGGCACCATCCACTTATTATCAATAAATCTCCCAGCCCTGGGCACTGGCCTTGACAGCTCCCTCCTAGGGAGGGAACTCCTGCAACTAGCAACTCCTTTTTTATTGTCACTTCATCTAAGGCCTCTCGTACTGACATTTCTCCTTAGCTCTGGGCTTCAGTCCCTGGAAATGTGTCAGCCTCGTGGTAAATAGTGGATAATGAGGTGATGGGACAGCTTCATTTGGGGGAGGGAGAAGGAGCACACGTGGATAGGAGTACATTTAGATACTCACTCCTCTCCTTGAATAATTCTATCTTTATTTGTGAGAGTCACAGTCTTGAGGATCCAACTAAGGTTTTGACATCAAATGTCAAAACACAATACAAAGACAGTAAGAGTGTACTTTTGTCCACTATTTTTTTACAGTCTTTTGGATCTTAGCTCCATATTGACAGGCAAAGAATTATAATAGATATAAATTGTCCCTATTACCTCCAAACATGTCACATTTATTTAGGATTCTGAGACATGTCCAAGGCTTCTCTCTCATTTAGGAGATAAAGCCTTATCACTTCCTTAATAAATTCGACAAATATATACTGCATCAGAAATTAATATTGCCAGAAAATTGGGATACTACAGTGACACAATAGACACAGTCTCTGCTGTCTCAGAGCTCTCACATAAGTTCAGTAAGTTTTGCTTCAAGGAGATAAAGGGTAATTTGAGGGTGTGATGATGGGATGGACTGTGGAACTCATAGCCAGTGTTCACTGAGTACTCAGCACGGGTGAGGCATGGTGCTAAGCACCTTGAGGCTAGGTCTAGGTAGAGGGACTGTATTAACCAAAGGTGCTGAGAAGGAAGAAGGAAACCCTGGATCAAGGGGTGTCACACAGAGCTGGCATGGGTGG